GCAATTCTGAATCCTAAGTGGCTCTATATTTCTATTTCCCGTCATTCTCGCCACTCTTTTTCTCGCTCCAACACCATCAGGACCGTTCCCGATATCTTTCTTTACCAAACCATACATTATCTCACATGGTTGGTCTGGTGATGGAGTCTCAGGGACTGTTATGTGAGTTTCTGATCCTTTTCCTGGTGTTGTCTCTTGACCATTACTCTTCTCAGGAGGTATGTTTTCTTGATCTTTCATTGGCTCATCACGCCCCGTATCAGAGAGCTCGAAGCAGAACGAATTACCTGATGCTTGGTTTGGTTTGTAATAAGAGCCAAAAGCTCCTCCTTGGTGGTAATCATTCTCGTAGCAAGCCATTGAATATGGACTTGTCACAGAATCAAGATGGTGTCTTACTAATTGCTTACATTGTTTCGCAAGATTCTTCACAAATCGACTGTAACAATTCCGTAGAGCAGCGTGAAAACCAACGTATCCATCCATATTTTCGGTTTTCTTCTCATCTGCAAATATCATTTTGTTCATTAGCTGCAGGAGAATTTGAGAGATCAAGAAGCATTTCAAAGGTTCTTACATTCTGAGTTTTGGTTCAGGTTTCTTTCTAGAGCAATCTCAAAGAGACTTCCTAATACAAAGGCAAGCCTATCGCATGCTGTGTCAAGAAGAGGAGCGAGCCATGACCGTGCAGCGGTACGAGCGATTTCTGCAGAAGCTTCTGTTACTCCTCTACCACCTCCACGCCCAGCATGAGCAAGAAGGATATTTGCAACCTGATCAATTCAAGCTAATGTGTTCAACTTTGCAATTCTATGAAAAGGTAAAAAGGTGAAGTGTGTACCTTCTCTCTTGACACGGGAGGGCATTCGATTGAGTAGGCTGCACAACGGAATTCATGAATCACTCTTTCGAAAGCAGCTCCTCCATATAGCTTAAGAACAGCATTAGGTGGCTTAATATCCACACTTACGCCTGGCCAGCTTCCAATGCCACTCTCGCTACGTTCTTCTTCAGTTGTTTTCCCCCATTGCTCAGGTGCTGGATTTGCTGCTCCATCAATCAAGGCTCCCTTAACAAACAAAAGCAAAACAATGTCATTATTCTCAACTTAATTGCCTATAAAGCCGCGCAACTAAAACTGTATGTTACAAACTACTCACCACATGATTGCTAATAGAAGCAGTGTATAACATTGCTGCTTTTCTGAGATGAGCAACATCAGAAGTTGCTTGGATTATCTTATCCATTCTCAGCATATCGTCGGTTACCTCAGAGCAACGCTGTTCGAGCAAAGCTAGTGTCGCTGGAGCAGCTTCCTTGTATCTCTTCTGAAGCTCAGACTCTAAGAAATCTCTTAAAGACCCAAAACCAATATAGGAACGGAACTTTTCTTCATCAAATCCTCCCTTAACACCCTCTCTTAAATGCCTTAAAACTTCCGTGTCCACCTGAGCTATTTGTCGGCGAAACTCATCGTTTGAAACAGTACTCCTATCTTTCGGCAATGCCACGAAATAAGGACGAGTGCTCTCCCCAAGGTATCCACTAGCACTTAGATAACGATCAACTTCACCGCGATCACTAAATTCCTGCAAGTGTTGAGACAAGGAAATGCTTAACCAATGTTCCAAATCTGATTGTGATTTTCAAAATTCTAATACCTTGAGGCGATTATCAAACTTGGAGACAACAACAATTGTCCTTCGAAAGCTTGAATCGATCTCTCGAACTGCATCTAACCACAAGGAAGAGCACCATTCCACACTACTTTGCTGAAGGAACAAGAGAATACGATGTGGAGGACTAGCCAATGCCTTAACCATCGATAAAATCTCATCAGGTGTAGTTTCAGGCTCTCCTTTCTTAGCCTGCTCCACACAAAGAAAGTTACAAATGATACAAATAAGAGAGGACAAGAGAGCAGTGAGAAGTGACCTTAAGAACAAATCCAGGAGTATCAATTATAGTCAGATTTGGACAATGAGCATACTCAGCTCTCATCACAATCGGCTTTGGCGAAACTGCGGTTTTCGTCTTCTTCAATAGCGATTCTGTTCTCGACCTAATTACATCTGCTACTGCTGTAGCCGAAACAATTGGACTCCCATACTCTTCAGAATCTTCATCCTAACCAATCAAAACCAAGAAATTAGCCCCAATTCAACCACCGAATACTCATTCCCCAAAATCGTTGTGATTATAAGAAATTCGATTAGGTTTTTAACCTGAAATCGACATCGTGGTTCTAACGCCGATAAATCGTGAACCATTTGGAGAATCAGTGGTCGGCGAGTACCCATTTCGACTTCGCGGACATTGAATCGGAAACCTAAAAGTGCTTCGAGAAGAGAGCTTTTACCGTCGGATTGACCACCTATTGCTACAATCTCAGGAATCGGGAGTTTCTCTCCGAAAGCGACTGCTGCTGCTTGGAGACGATTATAGGCTTCAAATCGTGATTTAGAAGACTCTGAAGTGACTGGATTCTGGGTGTGAGATTGCATCTGAGATTGAATCAGTTGGTTTCTTCGGGAAGATGGGGTTTTAGTCGGTGTTGTTAGGTATGAGTTTGAATTCGCCATTGATGAAGGAAGAGAGAAGCAACGGTACTAAAGAGAGAAATCGGAGAAAGTGAGAGATGGAGCGTAGAGAAGAGACAAAACTTGGGGATTTAAAATTTGAAATTTGAATTAATGGGCCTTATTGGGCCTAACTTGAACTCTAGTAGACTTACGTCTAAACCCATTTAAATCTGCTGAGAAGAGATTTTTTTTAATTAATTAATGGGTTAATGAAACGAAAATATAATAATACTTTTCGTATCATTTTTCTTTTTAATTTTCCGACATGATAATCATAATGATTAAATACTGTTTAACTTTGTATAACCATATAAAACATTTTCTTTTTCATTTAAAACATTGATAATGACCACTAAATTGTGTTGAAAACCTATAATCGCTCGACTAATAAAATGAATCATCTACCACTAAACTGGTAAATAAGATTTCAAGTTTTTCTTTACAACTTATATAATTTGTATGTTTTCGACCAAAAAAATAAAATAAAATTTGTTTTTCATGTACGGCATAGAGTTTGGAGTCAATGACCAATTGACCATAATATATATATATAACCAACATATAATGAACAATTCATTATTATTTTTTTACAAATCTTATATTAATGTTGTAAGATTATGAATCTCTGTAGAGAGTTATATTATTGACACAAGCCTTATATAAGCGTTGGAGGAGTGCTCTCTAAATAATATATTTATATATATGTCATTATCATCAATAAAAAAATATTCTATATTCCTATATTCTAGTGTACGTATAATATTTACTACCGATCTCTCCTATATACATTCTCTCTGTTTTTTTTTTTCTTTCTTTTAGTCATACTAAATTAGACACCCTGAATTTTTTGAAACAGTCTAAAACACCACATAGTAATATAGTATAATAAATCGAAGTATATGGCTAGTGCCTAAGCGTAATCTAAACCGCGTTTTAGATTAGTGGTCAATGACTCAACGTTATGGACCGTGATTATGTGATTATAATGAGACTGTCACAAACATTGATCAGTTTTGAGCTAAGTAACACACGTGGGAGAGATCACATTACAAGTCTCCAAGAGTCCAAGTTTTGTTGCGAAGTAACCGTAACCGGAATGTGATCTCTTACCGAATTTAGTGGCAAAAATGAAGGATCTTGTTGTATTCCACCGTCACAACAACGTGCGACGTTTTGCTATAAAAATAAAATTTGGTTTGATGAAACAACTCATGCTCATGTACATGAAACTTCATGAAATTTCAAAGAGCACTTGTGATGTTTTTTGTTAATTGGTCATGTGTGCTGTTTATTCCCATCATGATTATTATTATTTTTTAATTAGTTGACTTCTTTTCTTTTATATTTTTTATTTCTTACACGTAGTCAAAAATCTGATTAGTATACTCTCGAGATCAAACAGAATTTGTATTTACATATAGTTTGACAAAGGTATATTATAATGCACAACAAAACAAAAGTAACCTTTTGACACCTAGCTATAGATAAATACAAATCACGGTAATGAGAGACTATGAGAGTATAGTAATACTTTGAAAATACAGAAAATGTATTAAATCAAACAACAAAGTGAGAAAAGGAACTAAATACTTTCAAAATGCAGAAAATGTATCAAATCAACAACAAAATGTTTTTCTAAATTTTTATATTTCGTTATATATATAGCATTCATATTATTAAAGTGCCATTGAATGATATATTAAACTTTTATGGTACATATCGTATTTTCAATTTTCATATTTACCGTACCTTTAAAATATGTGTTTTCTTTTACTATACCAATCAGATCCAAAATGGAATGACGTAATCTACACAACAATCACTTGTTGTATCCTAGATTTGAGGAATTATCAATTCACTCAAACAATTGCCAAACAAAAAAGTCAAATTCTTTTTTTAAAAAGTAAATTAAATTATAATATCACTAATGTTTTTAGTGCCTTAATATACCCTTCATTTCGCAAGAACACATATCTTCCCTTAAGTCCCACTCTTCTTTTTCCATCCTTCTTCTTTGCTCCAAAGCCAAAACTCTCTTTGGCTAATTTTGACTTCAACACAAAAATGGTCATTAAGATCCCTAATACTCTCATTAAAACCACCTCACTCATCTCCTTAATCCTATATTTCCTAATAACATCAACATCTAATCTTCACTCGGTTTTAGCCGAAGAAGTTGTCGACCAAGAAGAAGACCCAGAGTTTTACATTCTTGACGAAACTCCCTCAATACTTTCAAATGCGACAATTTCATCCAAAACCAGGCTACTAGTTTCTCAATTCAAGAAGATCAAGAAAGGAATGAAATGTCACGTCGCGAGTTACAACATTTGCAATGGCGTAAAAGCAAATAAGGGGACAAGCCTCTTGCATTGCTGCAAGAAGCATTGTCGGAATGTTCTTGGAGATATGAATAATTGCGGCCGATGTGGTCACAAATGCGGTTTCGGACAGCGTTGTTGCGGTGGTGTTTGCACTTACGTTAACTTTAACCCTAACCATTGTGGGAAATGCACGAGGAAGTGTGCGTCCGGGGTTAAATGTGAGTATGGATATTGTGGGTATGCTTAGTTATAAAAATAAGGAAAACTATATATAGGTTATATCATAATTTTGTGTCGTTATATTTTTTATTTTTCTTCAAGAAACCGTTATATATAGCATACGTAAGGATTTCACGTATACACAATTTCATGCATATATATGAATGTAATGATTTTGTGGTGAATAATTG